CAATCAAGAGGAACTCCTCTTTGTCCTCAGCAATGTTGTGAACAAGAGTTCAGCTAGTTTAGCAAGTAAGTGGAGAAGTGACAAATATATATTCTTCGGCAGGGGACAGAATCAGTTGTCCTGGTATACCACACTGTAAGAATAGTTGAAAGAGGACTCAGATTATAAATGACTCCCACATGGTATGGTCTCTTCAATTTCTCCAGCGCAACAGAACACAATTTTGAAAACATAACCTACATTTTGCTTTGCAGCATATTGCTTCAGAAAAGAAGAACATAGAAATTTTATCCAAAGTATAACCGCATGTGTGCAAAAAGGATTGGAAGCGAAGAAATGTGAACAATATTCAAGTCACGCAGTGGGGCGTTTCTGCCCTAACAACTGGACTACAACTCCTAGAATCCCTGCCCAAACCAGTTAGTAGTTTTTGGGAATCATCACAAATGCCACAGAAAATAGGGCAACAAGTGGACAGAGGAATTTTCATTCGGCCACATTCATGCATCTTATCAATTTTCCATTTCAGTGTAAATGCTGGTGAATGTAGGGGATTCACAGTTTCTTTTGAGAAAGATCTTTTTGAAAGTCATAGTACCTACATATATGACACAAATACCTGAAAGGGTATCTTTAAGACAACAACAGCATCAATTTTGTCCTCTAATTTTGTAGCATTTTGTTTAGCAGTTTATATTGCATAAATTTTTGAAGCAACTGTTCTGGTCCACAGGACTGTACATGTAGAGCTTTTACAGAAAGAAAAATTCCTCATTTTAAGAACAGCACACAGATCTGTTTCCTTCATTGAAATTAATAGGAGGGCCATTGCAACCACACATGTACCAATATTTCTATATTTATAAACAATGGCTGGAGACTTTCTAAAAGAAAAACAGAAAGATTAATGCATTATAGCTTCATTTGTCCATATGCTCTGAGAAACATGCAAAGGATTTTGAAACTGTGAAATGATTAGTCACAAAGGGAATGCTGTTTCTATAGGATTAGCTATCACAGAGTTACATCGCAAGTCCATGGTGAATCGGTGTCATAAAGATATTTTGGATCATTATATTGCAGATACAAAGGTTAATTTGTACATTATTTGACACTTAAAAGTATATTTATTGTCTTTGGGTTGGATCCAGATGTATTTGTTGTTAGAGTTGGTCCAATTAATCAGTGGGACTTAAGGTAGTCCTCATGGTTGACTGGGCAACCATCTGAGTGGGATCGTGGGACCTGTGGCAGCAGGGGCTCAAACCAATGGCCTTCTAGGCCCCTTCCAAATCTACTAATATGTGATATGAGTAACTTGTCTAATTGATTTCAGTGGCTAATTTAAGCATGACTAAATCTTGATCCAAGTCAACATCCTTGTTGCTAGAAGATGCATGGTAACAAACACAATGTATGTGTTTACATGTGTTTCCTGAGTATGAATAAAAATTGGGTGAATAGAGGGAGAAATGAATTTGAAATCACAGACTTGATTATTTCCAAGTACATTTGTGATGCCAAGGAGGGGAAGCCCTGATTGCACATGGTTCCATGTCACACAACAAGCCAATGTAAATACAACAAATTCCCCTCTAAATATACAGGAGAGGGCAAGGCAGTGGCCCTCTCCACCTCAGGCAGTGGTGATGCTCATTATGTGTATCCTGGAGAAGTTCTCCTGGCGCTGAGCCTATATTCTTTTTGGCACCAGGTCAAAACCTTTTTATACTTTAATAATACTTTAGAATAAGTATTATTTTAAAAATTAGTACTTTAATAATTTTAATCAGTCATTCTTGACTTAATTTATATTTATTGGTTGCATATTGCTTTATATTCATATCAATTGTTATTTGCTTTTTATTTTAATGTTTGTAAGCCGTCCTGAGATGCCACGCATAGAGGATGGCATATAAAAGCTTAATAAAATAAATTATGAGAAACACCTCAACAGATTTGGACAGAAAATGAATTATAAATTCAACACTCCTAAATTGTATAGAGAAAGCTGAGGGAAATTTTTAATTTTGGATTCCATTGGCTAGTTCCAAAAACTGAAACAAAGAAGCCCCATGCCAATATTTTGCAGATTGGTAATTTATATGTGCATTTTTCTGCCGACTACATAGTTTCTGCTCTGTGAAAATTTTGAAAACTGTGCAATGATCAACTAGCTGTTAGATATGATTAAGATCAAACTACATTTTAAAAAGTTTGCATTCATCCAACACCCATGATAGTTTATTAAATAATAAATGATGATATTATTTAATAATAGTAACACTTGAAGAAAACTTGGTTGAAGGTTTCCTCCAGTGAAACCAGGAGGGTGAGAACACTTGCCAACTTGGTCTAGACATCATGACATTTAAAAACAAAAACAATGGGCTGTTTTGTATGAGTGATGCACTGCCAGGCTCTTCTGCTTTACAGTATAACTCGTAATTGTCACCTTTATAGGTTGTACAGAGGAATGTGTAAATCTGAATTGCTGGGTTGTTTAGCCATTAAGCAACCCAGGTTTTAACCTCAAGTTTGTTGCTGGGTTAACCACTACATTGTTTAGTGGATAAACAATCCACTGGTCCAGGTTCATATATCATATTGAGCAACCTATAAAGAAGACCATTGTGGGTTGTGTACGAAAGCTGAAGAAGTGAGTGTCCTGAAGGCAGCGCCCCTTCTCATGCATGGCAACCATTGCCTCTGCGACCAAACAGTGTGCAAACAGCCTCTGAGCAAACTCTTACTTCCATAGACTGTTTGCATTGCTTGCATAAGCTGTCCTCTTCAGCTTGAATCAAGATTTAGTCAAAGTAGACCCCTTGAAATCAATGAGATGTAGTTAATTATTAGTAACTTAAGATCCATCAATTTCATGGACTTTTATTAAGCTGGGAGTAAATCTGGATCCATTCCTTCTATCATATTCTTGGAGTGCAGGCGTGGGCAACTTGTGGCCCTCTTAGCTATGGCAGATGGGAGTTGCAGGCCAAAGCATACAGAGAACCAGAAAGTGTCCTGGTACACTGTTAAATAAAATCACAGATAGTAAGTTCATAAAAGGACATGAACAAATCAAACTACAAAGTGGAAAGCCATTTGACATCAAAAGATAGGCTCATCTTCCCCGATGCCTTGCATAATACAACAGCAATTATACATGCATTAAAATCACCATTGCTTCTCTTAGAACGAAAAGCATTCCGGCACTGAGGAAACAGCCATCGAATATCCTTTGTGCCAACAACTGACTAGACCTTCTATAGGATGATGCATTTACGAATGTCATTAATATGGTCTATTGTCCAGTGAAAGGACCCCCAGTTAGAAACAGTCTGCTGGAAGAGCAGAAGGCAGGGAGCTCCACCTCTCTCGTCAACTGCCAAACCATATGCACCCCATTGGACAAATAATGAGAACTGGCTACTATGACACTGCCAGTGCCTTTCTGGTTACTGCCCTGATCCCTCTCCTCTTCTCCCCCAGTCCTGATAGAGAAGTAGTCTTGATGAAAGACTCATGACATTTTTGCAAACTGATAACCCTCCTTTTATGGCAGGGGAAAGTAATATGCCACCCAGAGGGCGCATGTGCCCTCCATGCCCACTGAAATCAAGGAAAACTTATTTTAAAGTCTGTAGCAGCTATGGAGCACTGAAAGAGCAAACATCAGCTGCTTGTGAATGTGGCCCTTTCACCCTCAGGCGCTGCTATAGATGTTTGTTTTGCGTTTAGTTTTGGACCATGAGTGAGTGTGTGTGTGGAAAGGACAGGGCACATGGGGCAGTGGTGGTGTTGGAGCTGAAGCCTTGAACCTCTACAGTTATCTATTCTGTTCCAGGAGGTTAAGCTGGAGCTGAAAACAATGGCGACCTTATCCAAGAACGGCCAAGAATTTCCCTCAGAACACATTCCAGAGCTGCCTCTTAATCATGTATCCAGAAATAGATGCCTGTTACCACTGTGCCAAGGGTATGGGTATGTTCAGTTCATCAGTCACACAAAGCTGATGTAGATGGAGCAAAATCCACATCTCTTTGCTTACAACTATCATTAGAAACTATACAGTAGCTTCTTGTCTCTCCAAAGAGGAAATCCATTTGAGCCAACCATTACATCACTTTTGCCTAACCTGGTCCCCTTGTGATGTTTTGGAGTACAACTCCCAGCATCCTATAGGCTAGGGGATGGTGGGAGATGTAATCCAGCAAAGCACACAGACACCAGCTTAGTGAAGGCTGCTTTGTGTATTGGCTAGTGACTTATGCAATGCAAAAATGTGCATGGTGGGGAGATTAAAAATAGACATGGTAAACAATAAATTACTCTTCAGTGCACACAACCAGCTATAGACTTAGCAGGATTTCTAACAAAATATACATAAAGTACCACGCCGATTGTTCAGAAAGGAACAGTTTGTGCAGCTACGTTGCACCAGAAACACATATGGATCTCTAAAAAGCACCCATGTGAGTTACTTCTCAGTTTTTCTCTAAGTACATGCTGCAAAGTTTGCTTCTGGCAGTTTTCTCACAGAATGCAATAAGCGTTTGATTAAAATATGACAAGGAAATCACCACAGTGCTGATTGCTTTAACAATGTAATGAAACATCTGCAAAGGTTGCCAGCTATTGATTCCTGTTTGAAGTCACCTCTGAATAAAATAAAAGATGATGATCACCTTTGCAATCCAGAAAATGGCTAACATCACTGACAGCATTAGATTATTTCAACCAGATACCTCTGTGTGAAAAGTAAGGAGAGCAGGTTAATATTTCTTGATTTGGGAGGTAAGGAATATCCAGATTAAAATCAGTTTGTATAAATCGAACACGCTATACTCGGGAATGGGCAGGTGATGAACATGATGTTTTCTCAGGAGTTCCTTTTTTCCATCTTGGAATCATGATGTTTGTCCTCTCTCTCTCTCTCTCTCTCTCTCTATATATATATATATATATATATATATGTGGTGTAAAAATGGGATAAAAGTCTAATTCCAGAACCATTTTTCTAAATTACCAACAGACTTGTATTCCTGGTGTCTTTTGACATGGTCACAGGCAAAGCATGCGTGTGATTCCCAGAACTGAGGAAGGCGGACTGAGAAATCCTTCCTCCAGTTGAAGTAACTAATATAGAGTTGATCATTTTTGTCAAGCATCAGAAGATATTCTGAAAGGTCCCTGGGGGAGAGGAAATCTTCCACATGTATGAAAGAATTAGCTGGGATATAATTCTCGTAGTTTTCCCTCGGAGGGCCTAGCACAACTGGCACAGACCCAGCCAGGAAAGCATTGTAAAGCTTCTCTGTGATATAGTCTTTGTGGATAGAATTCTCAAAAGAAAGGTAAAACTTACAAGTGGAAATTGTTGGGATCAAATTTTTGTCACTTACGTAATCTCCAAATGCTTGCCCGTAGGTATGAATTTCAATGTATTTGCTTAGTTCATTATAATACTTGACCCGAGCATGCTCAGGGTTCCAGTTACTCACCACCCAGCAAACCAGCCTTTCTTTATTTGGCACTTCAAACAGAAAGGCGTTTGTGCTGACCATCATGAAGCCATAAGGCACTTGAATATCTGAATCACGGCGGTAAGTGAGGGTCAGGTTAAACAGATGCTCAATTCCACTCTTTTGTGGAGTGTGCGTTGGCGATTCCAAGTTCATCCAGATCCATTTCTGAAAGGGCGGCCTGGGTTGTTGAGGTAAATTAGTCAGATCCCAACTGATGTCTCTGTGGTGAATAAGAACGGCATGAGACCGGTTATATAGTGTGCGGTCCGTTGTCAGGTGGCACCCATGGATGTTAAATGTTGGGCAGAATTTCAGGTCAAAGGTCTGGCCAAATGGCCAGACCCATATCAAAATAGTTGTTTCATTGATATAATCGTTTTTGCTGGAGAAGAAGTTCTTCATCTTCAGAACTGAGCTGGCAGATTCAATAGGACCAGAGATCCAGCTGTTTGCGGGTTTGATATAAATAAGCAGACATGCCATAAAACAGCCCAGCACAATGAAGAGGACTAGAAATGGGCGGAAGATTCCTTTGGATGATGATATCATAATTTGATCTGTGAAGATAAGAAGATGGAAATAAAAAGTCACAATTTTTAGATTAACTGCAGGTGCCCCATAACAACAATTGCCTACATACATCTTCAGATGTTTGTTTGTTTTTATAGCGTACAGCTACAAAGCTTCATATATTTCTGCTAGCATTTTTAATACGTGGCCATACTATCTCAGCAAATCCAAATACAATGAGCCATTGGGAAGAACCATCATGTTTCTCTTGCTGCCTTAAGAGGAATTTGATTTCATTGAAAGTATGTGAAAGGTTGTAATAAATATGTCAATTGTTCTGAGCTGTACTTATTCAATGTATTTTTTATTTGGCTCATCAGTACTGAATTTCAATGAAACTCATCTGTATGTGTCATAATGTGCCAAAGATGTTCCTCTGTAGCCTCCTCTTCTGGTGCAGTTGCCCCCGCTTTGCTGTGTAGTTCCAAGAATGGAGAAGTGTACATTACAAAAAGGAGAATGGAAAGGAAATTGGTTTTCTTAACTTGCAAGCATGGTGACTAATTATGCATTTCAGTTCAGTGGTGGGTTTGGCACACTTAAAACATTGTCTAGCCCATAGGACTTAGGATGCAAAGGCAGCTTCACACATTTGTTTTGTGCATTATTTTCTGATGACAGAGGACTGCCAGCATGAGCTTTAGGAACACCTGGGAGTGAATCCTCACTCAGCAATGGGACTTACTGGGCCGGCTTCCCAATCCCCTAATCCCCATGTAACACCACCCAGATCTTCTTTGCTGAATGAGGCAAACATGAAAGCATCCAATTATTTATTCTTCTATGTATCAATATTATTAATGCTAGCATTTGTAATACTGGTAAATATTACTAGTATTATTAATACTATTATTTATTTATTTATTTATTTATTTATTTATTATAGCATTTTTATGCCGCCCAAGTCGCAGAAAGCCTCAGGGCGGCTTCTAAAGCAGAATAAACAAACACAGACATTAAAAATCCGGAGCATCTCGGCAATAGTATAAAACCAACCATTAGAAACAACAACTAACAATTAAAATATCATTTAAATAAAAAGGTCTTGGCCTGGCGCCGAAAAACAAATAACGATGGCGCCAGGCAGACCTCTCTGGGGAGCACATTCCACAGGTGGGGCGCCACCACAGAGAAGGCCCTCCTCCAGGTACTCACCCTCCTAATATCCTTCACAGAGGGCTCCCGGAGAAGGGCCTCCTCTGCCGATCTCAGGAGGCAGGAGGGCATTTATGGACGCAAGTGCTCCTTTAGATAACCAGGTCCCAAGCCGTTGAGGGCTTTATAGGTGATAACCAACACCTTGACTTGGGCCCGGACTTCAATGGGGAGCCAGTGAAGCTGACAGAGGACTGGGGTTATATGAGAACAACGCCCAGTCCCCGTCAGCAACCTGGCAGCTCTGTTTTGCACCAATTGAAGTATCCGGACCGTCTTCAAGGACAGCCCCATGTAGAGCGCATTACAAAAATCTAATCGGGAAGTTACCAGTGCATGTGTCACAGTCACCAGGCAATCATTCTCCAGGTAGGGACGCAGCTGATGGATCAGCCGAAGCTGAAGGAAAGCGCTCCTCGCCAGCACTGTTACTTGAGCTTCCAACGATAGCTCTGGGTCAAGGCGCACTCCCAAGCTGCGGATCCTGTCCTTAAGAGGGAGTGCAACCCCATTCAGGACAAGGTCAAGGTCCCCCACCCCGAAGTCCGACCGGCCTACCAACAGGACCTCAGTCTTGTCTGGATTGAGCTTCAGTTTATTGGCCCTCAACCTGCCCATTACCTCAGCCAGGCACTGGTTCAGTACAGCCACTGCCTCACCTGGATTAGCTGAGAACGAGAGGTAGAGCTGGGTATTATTATTACACTACAGCAACACCCCACTTGCCTTCCTCTTACAAGAAAGTTAAGACAGCTTGCAAGATTCTTGTCCTCTCCTTCTATCCTCACAACCACCCACTGAGCAGAGACTCAAGACTGGCCCTGAAGTCACCTAGTGAGCTTCACGGGCAAGCCGGAACTAGAATCTGGATCCCTGAGTCCCAGTCTAGCACTCTAACCACTATGCCATGCTACACCACTACATTACATCAGCAAAAATAAATGTAACTATACCACAGTGCTGTGTCTGTTTCATTCTTCTTTGTTAATTCTCTCAGGGGAAGCAAGTCACAAAATCACTTCATTATTCAGCAATATAGAAGACAACAAAAAATATTGAAACCTCTCATTAACAAAATGAAACTGGGCTGAAAGAAAAATGGATTTAAGCAGGCAGTTCTGTTCTGTTTCTTCCCATGCCATCCTGTCCCTTGAATTCCAGACAATGCAGATCAAACCTATATAGGATCCAGATGGAAGCTGTTCCACATGCTGCTTGTTCTGGCCAGCTCCAGAAAATCTCACAAGAGCAATAGAGGGAAGTGTATTTGCATAAGTAGCCTTAAGCATGATTTGCAGTTCAACCTTCTCTCTCCCTCCACAGAAATGGGCTTGCAGCCTTGGCCAGCACCACTCTGCCTGGGTAAAGTAACCTAAGTAAAGTAGGTAAAGAATTCCTTCCTGTTCCCTGCTTGGCCCCTGAAGGTATGTTTATGGAGATCCTTAAAAGAGAGTGAAATGGATTGATGGGAAATTCTAGGCATTTTAGGGTTTTCAGGCAACTGCTGTATTGCTTTTGTTTTCTTAGCTCCTGTCTGCAACTTGGCACAATGCATAACAGATCTTATATAGGTAAGGGGGCAGGAGCTGATGGGGCACAAATATACTCCCTTTCGCTCCAGGACAACTTGCAACAACCTTCTTCCCCCTCCAGTACATACAATATCAAGAACTTTATCCTTGCTAAAAAAAAATGAAAAGTCCTTAGCTGCTTCAAATTAAGATAAGAAAATCACTTCCCATAAGGACTTAAACATTTCTTCTCCTGAGGATTGATTTGGGAGGCATTTTCTCTCCAGTATAGTAACATTCAGAATAAAAAGCTAGGCTGAGTACTTCTGACCAGTTTTACCTGCAGGGAGAAGATCAGAGGTGAACATCAATTGCTTAAAAATGTCCCTTTGACTAGATAAACCAGTTAAGTTACAGTCTTCTGAAAACAATAGTACTGCGAATAACCAGTTAGTTCAGTCTCTAGTTAGTTGCCTGATTTCTTGATAAAGAGGAAAACACTGTCAGATTATAGACCTGTCCATGGAATCCCAGGACTGACCATGCTCCCTATTCTGTCAAACAGATAAAGTGGCTACTGTGGGGCTTCTAAGAAAAAAAGCTATAGCCAAGGGGCAGCTAGCTGGGTGTGTACAGTTACAGATACTAATTTTATTATGTTATTATTTAAAGTGGCAGGGGTTTAAGTGTGTGCCTGTGTGTTTGTGAAGGGCAGAGTGAATGCTATCTCATGTTGCCTAAAACTCCACTAAGTTGGGAAACAGAAAACTAAGGCTGACGCCTTTAGACATGCCCAGTCGTCAGTGATGACTGGTGTAAAGTCACAGTTGTGTTTGCTTACAACTTACCCTCCAGTGTTCTGGAATTCAAAACACTGGAGTTCTGGAGGTCTCCTAGCTTCACAGCGCTCAACCTAAGTTTGCCCACAGTTGCTACTATTAGCTTTCATGAGGTACAAAAGCCTTAATGACTTTTGAACCTCTGCTCAGAATGGCATTGAAGCAATGAAACGCCACACCTCCACATCAAGCCTAAAGAGAGCACATCTGTACTTTTCACTGGAATTTGAAAAGCATGTATTACATTTTTGAATATAAAGTGTCCATCTTCAGTACGGTCATCTTGCTGTACTGGTGTTTATTGGATTGTTGTTGTTGTTGCTGTTGCAGGGAGCAACTCACCTTGATGAATGGGACACTTATGTGACGTTTTCATTATCCTTTCTAGAAAAAGCAATGCTTAATCAGGGCAGAAAAAACAAGCTCCATGTTATTTTCACAGTTTTGGTGGTTCCTTGATTCAAGTGAGTTTGAAATGTGACATTGCACATGGTCAGAGTATACCTTTTTAAATATCAGGGTTAGTAAACAAATTTTGATTCTTAAAAATTCAAGACTGTAAATGTAGTTGCAAAGCATGGAATGATGGAATGGTGGAGATATGTTAGTTGTACGACCATGGAAGAAGCTCTGCTCCCACTAACTCAAAAGCCTCAAATCACCCAGTTGGATATGCCACCGCTTCAGGTGGGTAGAAGTTTGCCAGTGTGGAGAGCAGCAGAAGAATCAAGTGTCTTTCCTTCTTGCCTCTCGTTTGTCTGAGGAAGCAGCTCTGAACAGAAGCAGCAGTCATCAGGATATTAATATGCATTTGTGTGTAGCATGTAGCTTGACCCTTTATGTTTGTGTGTGTTGTCACCACATTTCCACAGATGACAAAGTCTAGATTGAGAATCTCACTTACTAATCTTCTATTCTAACAGTGTTGACAGCTTTGCTTGATATGCAGTTTGAGTCATGCTCTCTTTATATTGAACAATAGAATATTTATGTGATAGTGAAAAGATCAGGAAAATTGAATGGGACACTTATTTATTTATTTAAAACACTTGCTTTGGCTTAAAAAACAATATCCCCAAATTACTCCATAATCATCAGCTGAGCCTACTGATTGACAGAGAAAAGGATGATTCAGAACCAAAAAATTAGGAATCAATCAATAGTGATGTATTCTAAGAACAAGTCACACAACTTAAATAATTTTAAGCAATAACAGTTACAGGAAATGACCCCTGAATAGACCACAGTGCTGCATACTCAAATAACAACAAAATGTTGTGTGAGAGATCTATTTGGGCTTATGCATACAGACACAACAGTACAGTACAGCAGATTTTACAGTAAGTGGCTGAAGAAGAAAGGGAAAAGCGATCTGATGAATTTCCAATGCTGTGCTGCTGACCTGACTTACCATAATAATCAACAGGCTGGGCTAAGTCCTGGTTTTGCCTGGAACAGCTCTACTTCTTCATGAAACAGTGATGAAATAAAGATCTTGAACACAGATGTGTCAGGCTCTGGGCAGGAACTTCTGAATGGAACTACAATTATATCCTAAGGTTGGTGTCTACATTGTTTCGATCCCTCTTGG